CATCTGGCCTTTTCTCATTCCCTGCCATGCATACCCTGATATTTGGGAATAGTCATAGGTAAGTATTATCATTTGGTACTTTCTGGTTCCTTGTACTTGAAATTTGGAAATAGTCATAGCTAAGTATTATGATTTGGCCTTGTTTGGTTCCTTGTACCCTGATATTTGGGAATAGCCATAGTTAAGTATTGGCATTTGGCCTTTTCTCATTCCCTCCGTGCATACCCTGAACGTTGGGAATAGTCATAGCCAAGTATTATCATTTGGCCCATACGGGTTCATTGTACTTGAAATTTGGGAGCAGTCATAGCTAACTATACTGAATGGGCCTTGTCTTATCTTTTTCATACCCGGATTTTTGGGAATAGTCATAGCCACGCAGTATGATTTGGGCATTTTTGATTTTGTATACATTGACGATTCAAGGATGTCAGCGTTATAGGTGCTCCCTTTCAGTTCAATTTTTGCTACTCAGACGAACGATGGTCCGTAGTACAACTCACGTCTCCTTGAATTAAATCAAATTTCCTTCCCTCGGAATAAAAATCCGATTCTGAAAATCTTGCTGGCCTTGAAGTTAATAGCTGGAGGGGGTACGTGGTTTTCTTAGAATCAGCTTCCGGTAGCAGCACGGACCGTCTGGTTGTAGTATAGGGCCAGGGACTAGTCGTGGGGAGGGGGGGGGGGGTTGACGGTGATTCTTTCACAGGAATCGGGGGAGTGGGGGGGTTTCCAATGTGATTCTTTCTGCGAGAGGCTTCGTAGGAATATTGTCATGTTCAGTGGTAATTATGCTATAACATCATGTTTGTTGTTGCATCAAATCTTTTCATCAACACTTTTTCCTCAATGTTCACTGCCCTGACATGCTGATGGTCCGAATTAACGACCTCGTAAGAATCCCTATCATTTATTTCTTTGACATGCTCTTTGCATTTAATTTCTCATGCTGCAACTAAAGCACCGCATGTTCCAATTCCTGTAAATGTCAGCGTTCCTGTTGATGTTGGAACCGTAAACACCAGAACCAAATTATGTCATGCCTAACTTACTAGCATTATTAATTGACATCGATATTTGTCCGTTGCTGTCTGGATTATCCAAGTAACATCTTACTTAGTTTTTCCATGCCACCTTCCTGTTGCTGAGTGCTCGGCGGAAGGGGTCCTGTTTTCAATGTTGCGATCTGGGAATCCATGGTCGAGCAAACTCATTGCGCACGTGTCCGCAAGCATCCGCAAAGCGTCCGCAACGCGTCCACAAGCGTTCGAAAGCTTTTCCAAGCATTCGCGCCGTCACCGTCTTCGTATAGGTGTTGTCGCTTTGGGACCGTCGTTGCTGCGCCGCGTGTCAAAGGTGCATTCTGTCATGGGGCATGGGGCCAGGCAGGGCGGGGAAGCGTTGCTGCTTCGTGGCGTGTGAAAAGTCCATTAGTGCCAACAGTCACGGGGCTGCTGCAACTTGGGGTAGCCATCTTGGCAACTTTATCTGCTATTGGAGAGTCACAGTCACGTCCTTGTTGCGCGTTAAAAGTGACAGGGATGAGATCCCTTGGGGTCGCCATCATGGCAACTGTCGCCACTTTCGAAGCCTCGTGTCTTCACCTCATGTAAGACATGCCCACTGTCGCAGGCGAGGGCGCCTTCAGTTTGCCATGCTCGTACCTGGCCGTGTCTGCTTCGCATGCGGCCCTGTGGTCGGGACGGGACAGTGTGACTGGCCATCCTCCTGCCTGTCCTGGCTCTTGGATGTTGACAGAGAATGCGGGACTACGCGATCTGACCACTTCCCATCCCCGGGATCCAAATCCACTCCTCAGGGGTCCAAATCCATCCGCAAGTATTGAGAAGAAAATAATTGCTGATTTTCTTAACCCTATTTCCGTGGATCTGACCCCGTCCCATCCCCGGGATCCAAATCCATTCCCCAGGGGTCCAAATCCATCCGCAAAAACTTTTAAGAACATGAGTACTCATTTTCTTTAATGCTATTGTCCCATGCTGGTTCTACTTCTCGTTCTTGCCTGTGTTGCAACAAGTTCCACGGATGCAGTTCGTCTGCGTCAGAGGCATCGCAAACGATCTCCATTTCAGACATTTTGGCACACAGTAGTACCACAAGGACCCCATGGCCCCAATGCAAAGTGGAGGTACTAGCGTCTGCTCCCTGCAAATGTTGGACCCCAGAAAGCGGAGGCATAGCACCTGCTCCCTTCAAATGCTACTGCACGCTAAGAAGATGCTAAGAAAATGAGTGGGCAATGGATTCTGATACTTGTCTTACCCAGCGCTCGCACTGTATCAAACCTTCATAAACCCTCGAGGATCCCCTCAGAAAGCCTCTTGAAGCCTTTTAAAAACATGCTAGGAAATTGATGAACACTTTGCAAACCTTCTTGAAACCCTATAGCACCCCTGTATGAACACGATAAGTCTCTATAGACCTGATATAAACCTCTGAACTTGAGGGGCGAGCCGAGGCCAACGAAAGCTAGCCGGGCTCTATCTAGCACGGGAGGAGGGTAGAAGACGGGGAGGGAAGGTACATGGCAGTAAAAAGCACAAGCCTCGTTAAGGGGCCTGGAAGACCCTTCGCGGAACCTCGCCAACTCGACTCCAACGTCTACTTCTCTTTGCACTCTACTTGCCTTTCCAGCTCTCTCCTCCCCACTTTCCCCATTCTCCCAGTCTTTGCTCCACGTTTCACCCCACTGTCCAGACTAACTCTGACTTTACTCTGGATTCCACCCTAACTCCAGAGACCAGTCCAGTTTCCACTCCACTCTTATTCACTTTCTGCATCACTCACCACTCCACTCTATGATGCACTCTCCTCTCCACTCTCCAGTGTAGACTCCGCCCTCCACTGCTTTTCCACCTGAGTCTCCACCTCTTTCCACCACACTTTTCCCCTCACACCTGCGCGGGAAATGGCGTTAAGACAATCAGTACTCATTTTCTTAACACTACTTGCGGATGGGTTTGGATCTCTGCGAGGTGGATTTGGATCCCGGGGATGGGAAGGGGTTAGATCTATGGGAAAATAGTGTTGAAAAAACAGTATTCATTTTCTTCACAGTATGTGCGGATGGATTTGGACCCCCCGGGGATGGGCCAGATCCCAATCCACTCCGTACTTGTAACTCCCTTCTCTCAATTACTGTGGCTTCAGGCAACCACCAATTCCTGGAACCAATCCTTAGAGGACATCCCAGTGGCAAGGCAAATGACTGTCCGTTTCTTTTTCAAGAAAAAACAGCCCTGGTTCCCAGAACTGCAGGGCAGCCCAAAAGTTAAGAAAACACGATCCGAACGTCAGAGGGCACTCATTTTCTTAGCTAGAACGGGCAGAGAAAATGCATATGTCTAGGAAATCAAAAGCATTGATTTTCTTAAGCAACGTTTTCTTAAACAGAGCCGGAACTGTATCAGGGCTTATTGAGATAGAGGGTTTCTATAGCGTTTATGAAGATTCTGTGGACTTTTGTAGCAGGTTTGCAAGGGGTTATTGGCTTTTATAGGTGGTTTATGCAGGGTTAGAGAATGTTCTTGAGGGTTGGCGGGGGTTTGAATGGCTCATCTCCCCATGGGGACCATACCATTGGAGGGAGGACTGAGAACGGGGAGCACGGATGCATGAGCATATACAGCCCTCATAGCCAGTTAAAAGGACCACTGTATAGCCCATTTAGTGAAATTGAAGGACACTATATAGCCCATGTGAACCGTTTACACGGACCTATGTGGGCCTTATAATCTTGGTAAAAGATTCTATGTAGGTTTCATACAAACTTCAGCTTTTTATATCCGGGAATTGACTTATTAGACTTAACCAGAATCAGTCAACAACCCCAAATGCTGGACAACTACAATCTACGGTGGGAATGCTCGAAGTAGACAGTTGCTTGCTGCCAAGACAGCTGGAAGGACACCATCTAGAAGTCAGGTCGTCCCTGTTTGACAGAGTCGTTTTGAGGTGATTATTTGCTGTTATACTGGTTGCATTTGTGCCATGCAAATCATTGCTGACGAATACTGTGTTTGGGTTTCTGGACTTTGTCTCAACAAATCTTGCCGTGCGCAGTTCTGCTGATGCTGCATCTCCCAGTATCTCTCATTCTAGGCTGTCACCGTCCTCCGGTGTATCACCGACGCGTCGGGACCGGCTTTTACAATATTCTCGTGGGAAGGCCCAGCTTGCTTGCACTCTATGGTGCTTCGTTTTTTAATCTAGGACGTTCGCTCACCTACTTCGCCTATGTCGCCTGGGTCGCGTAGAGGAGGCAGGGTTGCAACTTAGGGAGGCATCTTGATGAGTGTTTGATGATGGTGTGCTAGGAAGCAAGTTAAGCTACCGACTGGTAAAGTTGCTTGGCATGCGCTTCAACATCATGCCCTTCAAAATAGCAGGATGAGTTTGGCACGAGTTCAAAACAAGAAGGAGCACAGCAAAGATGCATGTTGGAAAGACCATCCTGTGGTAGTGCCCAGACACTCGGGACGGTGTCTTGTGCCATGGTTCCAGCGGCAGCCCCTCTGCGGCCTCACCTGGAGAGGGTGGCATGCTCAAAGGATGAGACCGGTTCCAGCACACAAAGAGATGCTGAGGATCTTAATCTGCTGCAACACGTGCTGGGCATGGCTGTCTCCTCGGAGGAGCTGTAACGGACCCTCAAGAACGTTTCGAGCTTTCGTCCCCTGCTCTGAAGTAGTCTCTATAATTCCAGGCCCGGGACGTTCTTGAGACAGTCTCTGGCATGGCCTCAGCAGCTTTGAGAGAGCTTTGCGCAGAGATGCTTGGGATACAATTGGCGTGTGGCTGAGAGTCATGTGGCCTCTAGATGAATGTCGCCTTTCTTCACTGAGGATGAGACCTGGGAAGGCAGGCCTTTTGGCACTGATCGGCTTTTTCATGGGAGCCTGTCCCCCGTGCTACATTGCGCCCCCCAACTTTCAGATGTTGGGGTGATTTGAGCAGTTTGAGAGGTCTCCTCAAGGACGATGCTGCCGGAGCTTGAAGTCTTTGAATCGCCACTGGGAGCGACGCTTCCCGCTGCTATTCATTGGTATGCCGTATAACTAGCACTTTTCTTCTTTTGCTGGATGCAGCTGGTGTCTTGAATCCAACTGCCTTAGAGTCTTGATTTGGGCGTTGAGCATCAAGTCACTTGGTATCTCAGTGCCTTATAGGTCTTCTGTTCACAATCCAGTAAACTCTCTCGCATCCAGTGAACTGTGGCGAAACGATGTATGGCGGACAGTACGCACATGCATGAAGAAATGTGTTGAGTTACATTGGCTTGTTCTGTCGTGTCAAGGCTTGGCATCCGGACTGCGCGGACTGCTTCGCCCGGTGAGTTGCTGGGTTCCAGTGCAGCAGGGAGGAGTGTTGATGCGTCTTGTCTCTGTGCAGCCATTTCCGCAATATCTGATTGTTGAGGATAGTTGTTTTTGTGCTGCTCATTGTATTGATGCTCATTGCGGTGACCGTGGTGGTCATGAGCGTCCACTTCAAAACAGAAGGTAGCAAGATCTTGCTGCTGAAGCACCGTACTTGACAGTCGTTTCGGCACATGCGTACATGTTAAAAGTAGAAAAACCTTCAAGCAAACAAGGGTCCACCACACCATCGGAGCGTCGCTTTGGTTTTGCAGTCGTGATGGTAGTACTGGAAGCAGCCGCTCGAGGGGAAGAGACAAGCTTTGAATCGTAGCGGAAACGCGGCGCAGTGGCAAAATCTTCTGCAGATTTCGGACAAGGATGCTGGCAGACTTTTGCTTGCGAGCAACAGATGTCTTCCCAAAAGATTCAAAGGCAAAGGCAAATGCTAGCAACCCTTTCTTCGCATTTCCTAAAGCTGCCCCAGGAAAGCATGGCCTTAGAGAGCCGTGTTGTTTTATCGCCACAAAAACGCGTCTTACTGCGTATCGGCTTACTCCCTCTACCCCCAGGAGCTTTTCGAGTCTGTACACAGCATAGTTTTGTAGATGTTTCCGAAGCAAACATGAGTGGTGCGGGCGCGGGGATGGCCGCGAGAACTTGGATACATTCGCTGCGCGAGAATTCTGGCGAGAACACCTAAATTAATTTCGTGATTCTCAACTAGGGCTTTAAAACAGTGAAATCCCAGCAGTTTCACATAGGTTCTATATAGGCTGCAGTGCCTTCAAGCAGAGGGGCGAGTTCTGGTTGAATTGCCTTTGTTTTTAGTCAAGTTGTGCATGAAATCCAGACTTGCCAGGAATTGGCAGAACTCTAGTTGAATTTGACTCCTTTTTCCTGTTTAAACGAATTAAAAGCCATCCGCGCATCCTACTCAGACTTGACTTCAGTTTAGATGATGCCATTTGGGCTTTGAATGAATGAGGACCGTCCAGGACTAGGATTGTGATTGTTTTTCATGAGTTTGCAAGGGGCATTGTAGAGACTGAATTCTGGGGAGGTATCCACGGGATGCATAAACATCATATTGGTTTGTAGAGAGTTCCCGGGGGGTCTCCAGGGTATCTGTGCAGACAACTGTTTTTCCGGACAGAACAACAATTCTCAAGGTTGCAGAGCTGAAAGGGCTAATCCTGAAGGCTGAAAGTGCTGTACTGTTCCCAAACACCAATCTAGAAGCCATTGCTGAAAGCAGCCTGGGAAACAATTCTGGAGAGGTCTGGTATCGGTGCAAAAGTAGTTTTGTTGGGGACTGCGCAGCAGTTTTGGGCGCTCAACCCTCGACAGTGTTGTGCTGTCCTATGCTGTCCCTAAAATACCAATCCTTTCTGAATGGATCCCCTGAAGACCTCTCTTTCAGGTTTCCTAGTGCCAGGAAAACACCTACATTTTCTGCGCGGAAACTGTTGTTTTTCAAGCAGTTTCAGGGGACGATGCAGAGGAGCGGAAAGTGGTTCATTATCTCTCACAAACCAAGCTGTTTTGGACGGAGATCTTGGAGATATCACCAGAATGTGAAAGGATTGTTGGGACAGTGCAGCACTTTCATCGTTTGAGACTGATTTTCCGGCACAGTACAACACTTTCAACGCCGTAATGCCACACTCTAATCTGCTTACAACCTTAAGTCTCCAAACGGCTACGCCCTCCAAAAGACAACATGTTTCAGGGGTGGGCTTCTGGGGGGAGTATCATGTGTATGTTGGTTTGATTACAGATATACCCCATACGCCTCTGCATATATATATATATATGTAGTTTGAAATATGAGAGGTGCGGGCTTGGAATGAGGCAGCGAGAAGCGAAAGATTGACTAAGGGACAGTAAAAGCAGAAAGCCATGATGAGAGCGAGATATGTAACCATAGGGCCGTGGCTGACAAATCTTCCAAGGCGGCCAACCGAAACCGCCAGTCGTTCATGTTCTTTTGCATCCAAGGCTTCTATCCAGGCACCATCTTCGAGGCAACCGAGCCGCAGCTTCCGAAAAGCGACAAGCTTTTTGCAAATGAGCCGCTTGGATACAGGCAAGGTGACAGCTTGTTACTGCATGCGGTTCATGTTTTGCGTGGTGGCTGCTTTGAAGCTGGATCTGGTTGTTCAAGGTACAACGGAGTGTATTTGGATGGCCAGGGCTGGTTACCCTTGCATTGGCGCAAGCATGCCCTTCTACGAGATCGGCCGCTGCATCGCACAGTCTTTCAGACTTTGCAAGTTGGCACAGTTCGTTTTTCTCCCTCCTAGAAGTGGAGCATGAAAAGTTTGGGAGCGGCAGTCAGGTCGCGAGTTATTTGGCATGCGAATCGGCTGGCAGCTAGGGGCTAAGACCCAATAGGAACATGACAGCCGCACTATCCGGCAGCATAGGTGATATGAGCACACGACGTTCTGAACTGAGGTTGGAAATCTATTGAATCATCCGCCTGCTAATGAACTGCCCAACTGCATTCCGATGGCATTCAGATGGCCAACGTGGCAAGAGCTTGGTCCGTTCCCCAGCTGTTACTTGGCGTTTTCCCACGCTGCATCGCACCCGTTTCAAGTGGCCGTGTCAGCAAGGTGAGGAAATGCCTGCTCTTTGGGCGCGGCTGCTCCCTCACATCTTCATGCGTCAAGGATGGAGGGCATGAATGTAGGCATGCCTAAAATGAACCTGTGCAGAGGACGTGTAGTCCAAACGGCAAGCGGGCGTAAGGATTCCGAGGACCGAAGCTGGAATGGCGAAGCATGCTTGAACACACGCTCTACCTGGCACTGGGGTGCATTGCGAAGACATGTTCATCAAGGGTCCATGCAACTCAATGAGCGTTGCTGAATGCACAGCAGGATGTGGCAGAGTTTCCTGCATGGCCATATATGGGCATGGCTTTCATAGCCGTGTTGGAAACGCGTGCTGGAGCCTTGTTGCAAAATGTTTCAGGCTCTGGATGTTGCTGTTGCGCCATGTGGTACGTGTTACTCATGCATCCGGTCTAGTAGCCTGTGCTGCCGAAAACCACGAGCAAAAGGTTGCACTTTCTTGTGGGATTAAGGAGAAGAACTCTTCTGGAATTATCGTGCCATGGCAAAGCTCAGATCGGTTCACAAGGTTTGGGCTTGTGGCAGCTGAGGCTTGCATCCTCGAGCCGATGGCAACGGTGCTCCAAAATTTCCAAGTTGGTACTCACCAGTTAATGAAGATTTGCTGACGACACGAGTATTGAGCGGCAAAAGGTGGTTCTTGCTCAGTTGACGGCTGGTGGTTCCTTTCATGACTTCGCCTGCATCCGTTTGCGAGGTGATGACTACACGCTGACGCCAATGCCAGGGCCATGAAGTTGAATGATGATCTGCTCAGTCTGGCCGCGGTTAGGGACGCCCCTATTGTTGGAAGGGTTGGAAGCTTGCTTACATGCTGGCTTTCAGGTCTGCATACGACATGGCTTCTCCGGCCTCCCCTTGGCGCCACTGCCGAACTGAGGACCATCGTTCACGGTGCTTTACGGTAGCTTTGGATGGTGCCAAGCTTGATCTGCTCTGCGAATCTGCGAAGCGTTTTGCTCGAGCCGAGTGGCCAGCTGAAAGATGCTGAAAGAATCGAAACGAATCGAACCGTTTGCACTGACTTCATCTGCATGCCACGCATGCCTTCTTAAGCCAAGCTCAACTACATGAACACACTTGGAAAGTTTGGTGGGTCTCAGTGATGCAGAGCCATGAAGAGCATTGGCAATTGTTGCCAGAGCTGGAATACACAGACTCTGTGGACTCGTGGAATGTTCGCGCAAGCCCAGAGCTCGATGCCTACGTGCTCTGTGTGCTGCAGGCAGGACAGCCCTTCAGTGTTCTCAGCCAGCAAGACGACTGGCTCCAGATACGTACAGAGAACGGTGTCAAGGGCTGGAGCTACAAGAAGTTCAAGGACCGCCAGGTTTTGGTCCCTGTTGGCCATGTTGCTCAAATCCAAACGCAGCCAGATGTCAGCAGCAAAACCTCGGGCGACCTCGCGGAGCTGATGTCCGAACTTGGTGAACGACGACGTTCCCTTTCTGAGGCTCCACCAGACGACCTTGTCCGCGCAGCCCACGGTGTTCAGCAGACCATGGCCAAGCTGGAGCTCTACGGCATTGAGCAGGAATGGTGGAATGCTGTGAACTTGGTGATTGCTGGTAATGCTATGCAGCAGCATGGCACCTTTCCGGCTGACACGAATTGACAGGAGAAAATTCTGGCAGCGGAAAGCGCCGAGGATTTGGCTGCAATTCAGAACGCAGTGGAGGACCACACTGTGCAATAACCCTGGAGCAACCACTCCTTCTGCGCCTGTGATCAGGACTTGTCTGTGGAGCTGTGTCGAAGCTCCTCGTACAAGCACTCTGCATCTTGACAACACGTATGGCCATGATGGACGCTCGGACGAACGCATCAACACAGTGTATCCAAGGATTTTCAGAACCCACAGAAGGATAGCTGCTGGCTATCGACTTTCTTCCAAAGCTTATGGCATTCCCGCGTCTTTCATGCTTTGTTCGACAGCTTGGTGCGTCCTCTGCCAGCGCAGGCAGCCTTTGCAATTTGTCTTCGGTGCATGTTTGGCAGCCGGATTTTAGATGGAGCCATTGTTCTGGGGAGCGCATGAAGTGGGAATTGTGAACTGATTCTGAAGCATCTGAGGTGAGGTTGCGCGGCATTTGATTAAATGACACTTGTATGTTATGTTTGTGAAGCCACGGCAGCCACGAGCTCTAGGTGTGCTCCGTGAAGAAAATTCCGGAAGCCGGTTGGCTCCATAAATTTGGTTCCATTGCTTTCAGACTTTCAGATGATTGTGTTGTATGTTGTTCATGAGAAGCAAGAAGGCACAATTTGTTGAGGCAAGCTTAGAACGCGAGGAAAAGCAGAGCTGTGAGATTGTCTTATGCTCGCCAGGGTGCAGGATCTGTGTCGGATGCCCTCCGCGAAACTTGGGAACTGTACGAGCACCGGGCAGCAAGTGGTCGACCTGTGCCAATCCAATTCCTTGTGGACGCATGGGGAAGTGGCTACGGGGATTGTGCAGAGGCCCTGCCACGTTTCCATAATCCGTGCTTGCATTGACCGCAATCTGACCAGCGCATGCCACAGGCTTTCGCAAAGCTGCAAGAGGCCATTTGGGAGAAATGATTGGTGATGGGAAATCGAGCGCGTGGCAGCTTCACGGCATGCTTAAAGGATCCCTGCCTGAAGCCGCTGGCGGAGCTGATCGCATCGGTGCCCGTGCACTTCACTGGGGCAACGCTCACAGCTGATGATCTATTCAAAGAAGTACAACAGATGGGCAGCTTGGCCATATCTAAAAGGGAGCTGGGCCTCTGTCATTATGTCACCGGTGCTCGTATGTGCAGCGAGACTGGAGCCTACCCTGTACAAGGTGTCCGGGATGCACCTTTGCTTGCTCTGGACCTGGTGTTGCCCTCAATGTCCAGCGGCTCCATCCTGAGCTTGGTCTTAGCCATACTGCCACGCCACTCACGCCCTTGGCCTCAGTCATTTTTCTTTTCGGCACACAAAACCATCTGCAGAGATATCTTAACTCGTTCCCGGTCAAGCATCGAGGCGGCAAAGAACGCGAAGAGCGCTTGGCAGACCTCGGAGACAGCCACAGCTTGGTTGCTATGATTTGCTACATTGAAGCCTTTGCCCATTATGTGCCCTGCCTGTCGTTGATCAATGTAGAGCCGGTCTGAATTCAGCCTGCATCAGAGCATTCATGTGAACAAACACGCTGCATCACGCTGCCATTTCAATTCAGGTTGTCTTCTGCCGGCGTCAGTCAGTCCTTTCGCCTGCAGATACGTCTGTTTAACATAGCTTGTGTGTTCATGGAGAACGTTCGACTCGTGCTCGTGCATCGGCAACCTGTCCAAGGATGACAACTGCTGGCTCTTTTTCAATGACCTGCCAGGCAAGGGCCATCTTCATGTTCTCATATTTTAGATGTCTTTGCAGTTATTGCCCGTCTGATTTGCAGAAGTGTCTCAGGCGTTGCTCGCGGTGTTCACAAAGAGTTTTATGGATGGGCGGCTATTGCACATGAATGCGCGCGCTACTTTGCAGAAGGAGCTCAGACCTGTAGACATTTTCCACCCGCGTTGAAAAACTCTCAGTCCCAGTATCTACTAGCTGACGCATCGAAGACTGCTTAGGCTTCGAGCTGAGACCAAAGGTGCTCTTATACGCCTTTTGGCTGCAGGATGTGTGGCGGGAGGACCTGTTTGCCAACTTATGTTCCAAATCTATCTGCTTGATGCAAGGATAGCGCAAAAAAGGCGCAGGAGGCTATGAATTCAGTAAGCCCGATGCTACGAGCTTCCATCCAGGCCGGGTTGTGTGCCCTCCTTCGCAGCACAGACCCCGCGCAATGATGAGGCTGCCTCAGCAGCCAAACAAAAGACGTCGCGTGGCCTTTGGAGTCTTGGAGTGTGCCTAGCTCTCAGCCCGGTTATTTGCAGCAGTGACGCCTTGTCAGAATGGGTAGGAGCTGTCTTTGTTGAAGGTGTCCTTATGGTCATCATAGCCCTGCTTCTGCAGCAGCTTCAAGAGATCCGTGCAATCCTGCAAGTGAGTCCGCGATGAAAAACAGTTTTCTGCATTTGTTTTCTGTGGATTTCTGCGGCAGTGAAAGGTCCCACACTGCGCATTGCTGACAGGACTCCGTGGACAGACAGCGCGATTCGACCAAGGCCCTTATTCAGACCTGCTGTGGCAATGCTGTGGCCTTCGCCTAGCACCACTCGGCAGATTGACGTCTGCAGAGACGTGGCCAGGTTCTGGTGAACTCAGTTGCGACGAGATTCGTCAACGCAGTGATCGTCATGAGCTTCGTGCTACATCCTGTGGTAGTGAGGCCTCGAGTTTTGCACATCAGGCTTGGAGTGTTCTCACCTACCCATCCTCTAATATCCCAGCGACAATTTTGTTTAAATCGCCTTGGGTACGGTCGTCCCTTTGGCGACGCCAGCTATGTCTAGTAGCACCTAACACTGAGGACCGCCACGTCCTGTCATCCGAGGTTCGCGGCTGCAAAAACCTGTTAAACAAAACGATTCTAGCTGGGTTATCCTGAGGCCTCCCGAGGGTACGCCCCAGCAATTTGAGTTGGTGCAACCGCACCTCCTCACTCAGCAAAGTCTCCTGCCGCTTTTCCCTCACCTGTTCGTTAGTCGTCCTTGCCACTCCCATCTGCATGGCACCCCACGTGGTCGGAATGTTGGCAATAGAACGCACACAACGATAATGCAAAGAGTCAACCTGTCTCGTTTGCGTCTCTGTGAGCCACAGCGTTGAAAGGTTGTAAATGAGCTTGGATACCACGCATGCCCCGTAGATCTGATCCACACACGCGTAAGCCTAGCTTCTCCAATGCGGCGCCGAACCTCGGGTCCTGGCCCACGAAAAAAATGAATCAACCGTCCCAGGTAAACAATGGAAGCAACTTGCGGACCCGGGTCACCATTGCGAAAAGCCACTGAGGCATCCGAGTTGTACAAGATTAGCTTTGTTTTGTCCAAATTCAAATGTGAGTTGCATTTTGCGGTTTCCTGCTGCACCGCTAGCAACAAATCTTGCATCTGTTCCCTCGTTCTTGCTATCAATACGGTATCGTCTGCAAACTCGACGTCGAAGAGAGGAAGGTAGGGTGTCGTAGCCAACGGGTGCCTATGTTTGTGCTCAAGTTGCACATCATGGAACAACACTGTCTGCAAGAGAATGAATAGTAGACGGCTGAGGGTACAACCCTGTCTTATGCCGCTTCGCTGCTGCCTGCACTCTGACGTATGCTCTCCCATGATAACCTCGAGCACGGGGTTACTAACAAGCTTGCGGATGACTCCACAGGTATGTGCTGGGACCCCTAATCGTGTAAGCGCATGCAACAACGCTGAAGCTGTAATGCGCTCAAATGCTTTACTCCAATCCAGAAACATAAGATTCAGTACTTGGTGCTGCTGTGCATCTACTAGGTCTTGAAGGCGTCGCACTAGATATATGGCTTCCGACGTGCTATGTCCACGGCGGAACCCATACTGTGTTCCCGAATGTGGTCATCCAAGCCCTCCGATAGCCTGTTGGCAATGATTAAAGCGTACAATTTGCGACAGGTCTGGAGCAAACTGATAGGCCTATAGTTGGATGGGTTATCCGCAGTACCTCTTCTAACATTGCCAGCACCTGTGCTTTGTTCCGCTGCGCAGAGCTACTCCAGGTGTCAAAACACTGGCGTCCAAGCAGTGCTTCCAAGCCTTTACCCGGTAGCGCCTTGAAGAACTCATTTGGGACGTGGTCCTTGCCTCCCCTTTTCCCAGCTTTTCTTTGATGACTGTCCGCACCTCATAGAAATGGTCGCTTCAGAATTGGTCGGTGGTGCGGACTTAAGCCCTCCGGCTCGCCTGCCGCTTGCCTCCTTTGCTTGCCTTTCTGCCAGAGGAGTTTTGCTGCATAGACGTCTGCATTTGAACCCCGTTTACCAGAAGCTTTCAAAGTACGGACCTGACGGAAAGGTTTTCTGAGATTGATGGCGCTCCAATCTCCTGCTTCGAGCTGCTCATCCAACCCATTACGTTTATCGGGTTTAGCAGCCCTTCTGATTTCCCGATTTAGCTCAGCAACCTGTTCCAAGTCTCCGTGCTCTTCTTTAGTTGGCCCCTCCTCTCAAGCAGCTGCAGCGTGGCCTCGGAGATCCAGGGCCTAGATGGTTTTGCTACTCGCTGGGGATGTGCCGATCGATATCCATAAGATGGATTTTACTGAGATTCTCCCATATGTCTGTGGAGCTTCCTTCCAGACTCGGGGTGTTGTCTTCTTGCTGTTCTATAGCCTGGTTCATATTATCCACGCTGTCCGGTGTTGCTTGCCTGAAATCCCATATTTAATGTACCTAGCCGGTTTTGGTTGGGCGCCTAGCTTGACCCGTAAGCAAGTAATCCGTGGGAAATGGTCTGAATCCAAGTTTGGTTGGCGCAATGCAAATGTTTTGTTCCTGGCTCTTTGTAGGTTGCCTGCTTGCCGGACGGGTGCTTGAACAATGTGTCTGTTATGAGCAACTCATTACTTCTGCAAGAATCTATGAGCAGATGTCGATTGTGGGTGTCTTCCCCTATGAAATTCCAACCTTTGCCGTACACAAACGGCCCAATCACATCCCCTTCGCCCATCAGCTTGCCATGGAGCCGGGCATTCGAATCACCAGCTATTACAAACGGTCCTTTTGCCTGAACTTTGTCAACTGTGTGCTGCAGCTCGTCAAAAAAGTCTTGCTTGGCCTCGCGTTATGTGGGGCATGCGCATTCACTATGCTCAGCTCACCTGCTTGCAGAAGCAAGGTAAGACATGCAAGCCTACGTGCACGTGCGTGCGAAGAGGGCGCCTCTAGCTTGGGGGCACAGCACAAAACCTACGCCTGCATACTCTTTGGCTTTGGCATAGGGCATGTTGTACTAGGATAAGTCTGCTTTGTGACGGCTGCGGTGTTCCTCATTTCGTGCGTTTACGCGCATCTTTCAAAGGCTGAGGTTTGTGGGTGGTCAAACCCCTCATGTTGGAACAACACCATCTATACTGTCTCCGATGTGTATTCTGCGTTTCGTCTGTCTATTGCATTAACGCTGTAGGAGGGCTGCCTCAGATCTCAGGCCTCGTTTTCTAGACCAGTATTCTCTCTGTATCCGCTGGGGGTGGTGTGTTGGAGCTTTTGTGTCATGATTGTCAAGCGTCGAAAAAAATGCCGCGGTGGGCCCGGCTCGCCAACTGGGCGGCGAGAGTCACATCTACCCATGACAGAAATGGTCGTTAGGTCTGGTGGCCATAACTGTTGCCGATCGTGATGGTCTGCTGCTTCCTACTGGCGCGTGTTGGCGCGCCTACCTTCCCCCTTTGGCCTAGGAGGCCTCACTGCTGGTCGGAAGCCGCCATTCATGTTGTTGTCTGCCTCCGATTTGGGCTGCGTGTGGCGAGAGCTGTGTCAAGTTTGCCGCTTTTGCTCTTGCAGGGCGTTGTACTTCTCATTCAGCTCTGTTGTCACGGTACCGGTGATGGCCTTAACTTGTACCTGGAAGAAAATCCTGTGGTCGATACCCATCAGCTCTGCAGACTGCGCCCGGTTGTCCTCCTCATGTGGCCCATTCCTCTGCGAATTTGTTGCTGAACTGTTCCTTGAAGGACTCGGCGAAGTACATACTGAGACGGGTTTTGTCACTCTCATGAGCTTGCATGTGTAGCATCCACTCTCCTTCATGCCAGACTGCACTGATTTCCCAAGTTGGTTTCTAACGCTGCCGCATGGTGGCGGTTGGTCTGCCTCTCGCTGGTACTTCGGGATCTGTGCACGTGCGAATGCCATCTGACCGTGGCAAGTGAGCAAATCCTTCTTGACCACATCTAGAGTCTAGAAACTCATTCTGGGCTCCTTCCGTATCGTAAAAAACTCCGCTATGCTGAGCTGGCTCCACCCAGATTTGTTGCGGAAGGTCGTTGTGCTGGCGTATTTGCCTTTGAGGGCTTCATGCCTGTTTACCATGTACTCTGAGATCTGTCTTGTGGTCCTGCTGAATCCGGCCAGCTGGAGACAAACTTGGTCGCGAGTGTGCATTGAGCGTTGGTCGATGGTGTTTAACCTTCCGTCCTGTCTTTCCACTATGCTCCTCAGGGGTTGTAGTTCTTGTTGAAAACTGCTCTTGTTCCCTTTGCCCCAGAGCCTGTGCCGGCTCCTGCGGTGTCAGCACTCTTTTGGCGCTGGTGACTGGCTGCCTTTATCTTCCATGATAGGTGGCTACTGGGAAGTAGCTGAGAAATGGGAGGAATAGAAATGGTCGCAAGGGGTTCTTGTAAACCTGTCCGGTCTCCCTGATCCTCCGCGGACAGTTGCGCAACCAGTTGCTACGCTGCTAGACATTATTACTACATGGCGTGTCTCAGTTGGTGCTTTCAACACACTTGGAATGGCATTTGGTTGTGGCATGTCTTGCTGGGAACATGCAGCGGAGGATATTGGTGGTGGGCTTTGAGTGCGAGGAGCTCGATGTCTTGCGGCACAGGCCGGAGTGATCACTTGTTTGCATAGACTGGAACAGACTCAGCAGCCGGGGTCTCTGCAAGGCATGACCTTGGTGTCGAGTGCAAATCAATCAGCCACATGCCGGTAGCCCAGTACTTGTCTGCACGGCTGCCAGCTTAATCTTTGCCAAAACTCTTGAAAGGCAGTGGTTGGGTTTCAGTACTGCGGGCCTTGTTGTGTACGGCATTGGCGTGCCGGTTCTTACCTCAGACAGCTTATCAGATGGTGAGGTTGCTTGCCGTGCGGGGCAATTTTTGAGATTGATCATGGCTCTTTAAGCCTCAACGCTGACCGACTAGTGCAAAGTGAAACATGTTTTACATAACCTTTCATGAGAGGTGGCTCTCTTCATTGCGCTCTTTCGTGTGCGAAAGCGCCTCTTTCGTGCGGACCCAGTTTTCAAAATCTTCAAATGCTTGCAGTGCTTGTGTGAAATTGATCTCAGCAGCGTCTCTTGGATGCTTTGCAGGAAGTGCGCAAGCGATTCGGCTTCCTTTACAACGGGTTTGAGCCTGGCTCTCGGGCTTCCTGACCGTCTGCCGCATGTATGCAATTGCACACTTGCACTCAACGCCCAATGAATGTCACAGGCTCAAGTATTACTATTTCGAGTCGGCTAGGCGCCTAGAGACGTCCCGCATTGCTAAAATTCAGAATGCCTGTTTTTTGCTCTGAGGTCTACATGTTCAGGAAGGTCATGATCCTGCTCTTTTTCACTGCTCCGACAATGTACATCAGAATGGTGCCTCCAGAGAACATTGCATTTTCGCATTTTCTATGGCCCATGTGATGAAGGTTCTTATGCTGTTCACCTCCTTTGGCTTCATACTGCTGCACGTGTACTCTGGGCCGTTTGATAATCGCAGCTACCTTTGTCCGTTCCTCACCAGCGCGACACACCATGAGTGCGACGACACAGCTCATGGTGTTTCTGAGGCCTTGATCGTCTAGAAGCCCTGAACTTGCTGGCACGGCCTCAAAAGATCAATTCACCTGATTCTGCCGTTGATGCATTCACAGTCAGGCCCTCACAGTGACAGTGTCTTCACGCCTCATCTTCGACATCCGCCAGGTCAGCTTCAAAATCTTTCAGTCAAATTCGACAGCCGACATGCCTAGGGCAGGGGATTTGTGGAGCCGGTAAAATAGAAAGGGCCCAAGTTGCAGCTCCTGGCTTTCGCCAGGTTTGTTGAGCTGTGCAGAGCAACTTAGAAGTCCCCTCTCCAAATATCCAATCACAAGAGAGAGAGAGTACCGATTCCACAAGCAAAACGCAGGTGACATTGGAAAGTAGCGACATTTGACGGTCTTCAGTTTTTTCTTGCGCGCTGATGCCAACAACACAGCCAGCTACAGCATCCAAGAATGTCAGAGCTTTGCTGGCATTGCAGGAGCTCTCTGGTGAGTTCTTTGAGGCATCTCTGGAGCAACTTGTGCTTTGTAATTGACCACAGCGTTCACAGCCTGTAGGAATTTGTGAATCATTGGACGATGGACATTTTATTGGTGCTGGCAGCCCATTTTTTTGTGCTTTGAAGTACTTGTGCCTTTCTGCGGTAGGCCATGGATGCTGCACTGTTCCTCCGGATCAGCCGTCTAGAAATGTTTAGATCGTGCCGTAGAAGCTTGCTATGGCCTGCGACTCTGACTCATGCTCCGACTTCTCGGACGATGACATCATCGCCAACAGCAAGTTTTCTGAATCACCTGAGGCTGAGCTCATGCCCAAAGATCCTGGAGACATTTACTTCTCTTGGATGCGTGGCTATGTCAACTCAGGTGGATTTAGGCAGGTTGAACATGTCCGCAACTCCTGGCACCACTGCTTTGAAGTCTTTCTGTGAGAAGAGGGGCAGCTTTGTTCTGAGGAGAACTTTTCTGGCCTACGTTGGACCAGGCCGCTACTGTACAGCGGGAATTCAATTGCTACCGCGAGTGCCGCCTCATGGGCGAGAGATCGACAGCAGAGCGAAGCAGAAGTCCTTCAGCCAGGCTGAAGGAATGAAGAGAAACAGGTTCCTGCTGGCTTTGCTGGCGGCCTTTGAAAGCGTTTAGCAGGCTGAACTGAGCAGGTGAAAGCGAGTGGTTTCGCGCGTCATGGGTCCAGCTGCGCGAGTGAAGGGCTGGGAATTTGTGGCCGGTGGGACCAGCTCCAGGACCCGCACGGCCAATGGACCGGCGGTCCAAACCTCCAAAACACCCAAAATGACTAAACAATGGAAAAACACTCCCTTGTTGCTGGTGTTAGATCTAGACGCCCTAGGCCTCCGGCCTCCGGCCTTGGCGGATTCCTCCCAGTGCCTCCTCTCCATGTTCTTTGAGGGTATCTCAACAATGAGCTTGAGCCACTTTGAACTGCCTGCCAACCATGCCGGTGCAAATCAGCGCGATGGAAGACTAACACGCCAGTTGCGAACAAGAGGATATGAGGTAAGCCACATCACACCGTCTCATGCCTCTCGATCTGTCCTATCTTTCTATAAGTTTCTTGTGTACATCTTGTGGCCTGCAGCTCACGGACAGGCTGGCTCATGAGCCTGGCTTACTTGGATCCTGGAAATCTGGAAAGTGACCTGCAAAGTGGAGCTTTCACCGGTCACAGCCTCCTGTGGGCTGATCCCTTACAAGAAGGATGTCCCAGCGTAGAAGCGCTTTTCTGCACGAGACCCCAACGCGATGGGCAGCCAAGGTCTTGCTTCTGTGACACTTGCCATCCAATCAGCTTTGTCTTGCGGGTCATTGCAACAACGATGTCGGTTTGTCGCAGAGTTCCCAAGGCACAGTGGCAGGGCTAATCCTGCAAGTGCTGGCAGCTCGACTGGCTGTGGTGACAGGACCGACACGCTGCAATTGCATGACATTGTAAAAAAACAATTGGACTGGCAGCATGCATTTGTTGCCTCTTTTGATGAGGACGTGACCTGGCGCAGACGTGCCGGCTGGGATACCCTCGTCCGCTGTCACTGCTGTTGTGGATCATGACGGAATCTGGGCCCAAGGGCCACGTCGCGCATGCAGAATGACATCCTTGCGTGTTTGAAGGAGCTCGCCATTATTGGGGCAGACATACAGGAGGTGGTGGGGACTGGCATCGCGTTGAGGCAGCCGCATTGTTCACCCTAGCTGTTCGTTTGCGCAGCCATGTTCTCAGGGTGCTCTTTGGATGGCCTCTTTGGGATGCTCGTCAGCAGGATTCGAAAGAGCATAACTTTTAAGACGTGCTACTTCTTGATGCCTTTTGCAAGCGTCTCTAGTGTCAAGCCCAGGTCGGATCTCTGGCCACCGGCTTGGACACTTTTACTTTCCTTCTCATCCACTACCTGGGGAAGCGCTTCCTTGAGGTTTTCATTCTGGCGCTTATCGCCCTGCTCCGCGATGAAATTGTCTACTCGGGACGCACATGCATCTGACGCGTGCGCCCTGCAATCGAGGCTGCTGGTGTGCTACATTGTGAACTTTTTGTTTATGCCACCATCTGCAGAACAGTTCTTCCACGGATTCCTCTTCAGCTGCAGCGACTACGCCGTGCTGCAGTTGGTTGGAACAGTGGGCGCTGTGATCATGCCACACAACTTGTATCTACATAGTGGACTCTGCAAGCAGCGCAGCGGGCTCAGAACAAACAACACTAGCAGCGGTGAAGCATCATGAGAGTAAGTTTTGACTTTCCCGTTTCTGTTTGGTCGTTATCGTCCAGTCAAGGCACAGCTGACAGGATGGACGTGGAGCATGTCCGTCAGGCCAATAAGTACACAGCCGCTACTTCAATGGACTAGTTGGACAGTCATTTGTACAGTTCTGGTTTGTAGTAGACACTAAAAGCGCGTTGCGGATCGAAAAGGCATCGCTCAAAACGTGGCTAAAGTCCCGTGATACCACACTCCAAGGTAGGATCATGGCAATCTTGTGAGTATTCGCAGAAGCTGCACTGACATAGTTGCTGCAGCCTGCCTTACTGACAGAAATTCTTTATTTCATGCGACTTTGCCGTGATAATCGAAACTAAGGTTGACTCCAGCATTGCTCTTTCCATTTCATTTGTCATCAACGCGGCCCTGGTGTCTACGTTTGCAACTGGATTCTTTCACCTCGACTGCGCGCAGGTGGATGGCGGACCCCTAGCATGTTTGCCCGGACTCCACCAGGATGCGAGATGTGCCGGCGCAGAGTGCGCTTGCAGAACCGGCGCTGGAAGCCCTGGCTTCTGCGGTGAGATTGGCTTAGCCGAGGCAGGAGACTCCCTGCGCCGGCTCTTTGGTGGGCATGGGGAGCTTGGCCGGACCATGTTTGCCCTTGGCCTGCTAGCTGCGGGCCAGGCCTCCACCATGACGGGCACAATGGCTGGCCAGTATGTCATGGAGGGCTTCCTGGAATGGCGCATCCCCATTTGGCTCCGAACACTCATTACGCGGCTCCTATCCCTGGGTCCAGCAGTGGCCGTAGCAGTGCTGACGAGCTCCTCACCAAACCTAAACAATCGGGTTGACCAGTGGATCAATGTGCTGCAGTCAGTCCAGCTGCCCTTCGCACTGCTGCCTGTGCTGCACTTCAACTCTGACAAGACACTTATGGGAGAGTTTGCGCTTGCTCCGCGGTATCAGGCACTTTGCTGGTTCTTGGCTGCCGTTGTCGTCTCAGTAAATGTCTACCTTGTGGCGCAGTTTATGCAGGGGGGTAGCATGTTTGTGCAGATCGTCACCATCCTTTTCTTCATAATTTATGCAGCTCTGATACTGTTTACCATCTCGGCAGACCTGAAGAGAGTCTATGGGGTGCTGGCACGCTATAACATGCCTTCTGACACTGTCAGCTAAGCAGTGTCCTCAATTTCCAGAGCTCTTTTCACATCATATTTTCCACTGCACGTGCTTCCAAAGACGAAGCGAAGTGCAACCAGCAGCGAGCAACATGCTCTCAACAGTGCTTTCACATTGCTTTAGATCGCAAAGCTCCGTAACTCAGAGAAAAGCAGTCTCGGAGAAAAGCAGTGGCGTGCTCGCGAGAGATTGGTGCGAATTGGATCCTGCTTCAATGCCGAGGGCTGGACCTTTGTTGGCCCACGGAGCTTTCATGTGGTTTGCGCTATGGTCCCTTTTCAGGCAGATTTTCTCTCCTGGCTGAAAAGTGTTTCCTGTTTGCTGGCATGCTGGCGAAGGAACACTGTCCTCAAGCATCTCCTCCTCAAGGCAGACATCTGGCCTGAGAAGATGCTTCTGCCTTACGACTCCACGGCTTTGGGTGGCAAAATAACTCTGCTTCTGAAGGTCCCGTCTTCAAAAATGCCTGCTGGGCCTAGAAACTCACAAGCAGAAGGCTGCGAAATGCGAACCCATGCAAAGAAGTACTCAGCATTTCATCACGTTTTGAGGCAGCCTTCGACGAAGATGAGCGCGGTTTGTGGATCGATACGAGTTCCCTGAGCAAGCAGGAGCATCTTTTTGCACTGCATTGCAATCTGCGACGTTGGCGGTAAAAAGATCAAAAATCAGTTGAGCTGGGAGGAAAGACATTACGTCTTCGTGGCCATGTGCGATACGTCTGGCCCTCGTCATGGTAACTTCTTCTTGAAGGACCATCCCCACATCGTTGCCAGGTTGCATCGCTACATGGACAGCAGCAAGCGTGTCCACCCTGGTGACGTAACTGCCGCTGTGCAAGAAGCCCTGATTCGGCGCGCTCCCTCGTGTCTCCTTGCTCGCGGTGTTGGAAAGTCGTCTTCAGCCTGAAGGTGCCGCAGGGCCCGGCGCAAGCGCGCCGTGCGACTTGAGCAGCTGGACAGGCCGCCTTTGTCATGCTTTGTGCCTTCAGGCCTTGTGCACCTGTGCGCAGGGAGTTTCGCGAACAACGACAACATGGCCGTCGTGGATGTGAGGGCCTCACATATCAACTCATCGATGCGACACACTTCTGGCATCTCCAACCCCATCAGTGCGAATTTAGTAGGCCCTGGATGCTGTGGTGCTCGCAGCATGCCGCACAAATTCTCGAAGCAACTAAAGCTGGCACAGCGAGGGCGCTGAAGCCTCAAGGATGTACCTTGTCCAGACGCTGGTCGTTCAAGAGGCGGTGTTGTCCTGGCTGGACATCTTAATGGCCAGGCCCCAGAAGTGGTCACCTTTCTAGCAGGAACGGCGCTGACCATCATGGCTTCGCGTCTGGCAAGTTGAACTTGAAGATTCCAAAGAAGTGGAAGGACCAAGCGCACCAAAAGATCCAATGCGCTAAGGAGGGCTTTGCTTCCGAAAGAGCCCCTGAAGGCAAGAAAGGCATTCAACCATGGTGCCTCCGAGACCGAAGACCAAGATGATGGAGAGCCATGTGCATCTGCAGAGACAGCGTAGGCAGCAGGAGCGTCAGCACGCTGCACCAAAGGTGACACGGTTTAGAGCTGGGTCTCGGCAATGGAAGCCTTGCATAAAACGTTGCATTTCGACTGCAGGGGGGGGGAACTTCAAAGGCGTCCGTCCCACTTGCCCCACTTACCCCACTCGCCCCCCTTGCCTCACTTGCCCCACTTGCCCCACTTGCTCCACTTGACTTACTTGCCCCACTTGCACCACTTGACCCACTTGCCCAAGTGGGGCGAGTGGGCAAGTGGGGTTCGGTTTTGGGGCAGGGGACCCCACTTGCCCGCTTGATCCACTTGCGCCACTTGACCCACTTGACCCACTTGACCCACTTGACCGCCTTGACCCACTTGCCCAAGTGCAGCAATTGGGCAAATGGGGCAGGAGTTCGATTTTGGGGCAGGGGAGAAGTGGGGCAAGTGGGTCAAGTGGGGCAAGTGGGGCAAGTGGGTTAAGCGGGGCAAGCGCGGCAAGTGGGGCAAGTGGGGCAAGTGGGGTAAGTGGGTCAAGTGGGGCAAGTGGGGCAAGTGGGTCAAGTGGGGCAAGTGGGGCAAGTGGGGCAAGCGGGGCAAGTGGGTCAAGTGGGTCAAGGGGGCAAGTGGGGCAAGTGGGGCAAGTGGGTCAAGTGGGGAAAGTGGTGCAAGTGGGTCAAGTGGGGCAAGTGGGGCAAGCGGCCGCGCACCCTTCATCCCCCCCAACGCAAACACTCTCAAACATTGCTTCAGCCCACACCGGCCGTCTTGCTACAGATAGAAGCGAAGCACGTACAGGAAGGTAAAGGACCACAGAAGGTTACCAAGAGCGAAAAGTAGGCTACCTCGCCCGCAAAATTCATGTTCCAAGTTGAGGCAGCTATGTTTCATTCTCGCATTCCTGGCCGCTTGGAGCACCTGCTGCTTCATGCTCTCTAGCCTAGCCTCTTGCTCTTCATGTGAGCGCCGGCATCTCTCCAAACTCGCACTTGCCTTGAAATCCGCTGAGTCGCAAATGCCATGAGTAGCACGTGGCTGACCATTTGTCCCTTTGCAATGCTGTGGCTGTTGTCGATGAGGTTTGTCTCGTATGATACGCTGGCAGCGGGTGATGAAGGTTTCACTTTACGGTGCAGATAAGCAGAATGAGCCGGGAGCACAGGCTGTCACTGTCCTTCTGACTTGGCTTGACTTGAAGCACGTTGCCTTTGCAGACGAAGTTGGCTTTAAAAGCAAGATCTCAGGCTAGAGCAGGAGCCTGGTTGCCTGGACCTTGTGATTGCTCGGTCATGAAGTCCCGTCTCTAATTTGCTGTAGTTTGCTCTCTTTGAAGCTTGGAATCTGTTTTGCTGGCGTTTTGGTTCACAGCAAGGATGGTGAAAAGCACGCATGCACGCAAGCATACATGCATGCTGGCACTTGCTATGAGATGAAAGACCAGATGAATTTGCGTAGCAGCCGTAGCATCGAGGCGCTTGAAGCGAGGGTAGCTGACACATATGTTGAAGTTGCGGCTGAGTCGCAGCTGCGTCCCCCATGTGCATGCTTCCCAGGCCATGCAGCTTGTAGCCAGTACGATGCCGCCCTGCACGGCATGAGAGGCTTGGCCACGGGTTTCCCAAAGCCCGGACATGTTGTGACGGCCACATTACGCAGAAGAGTCCAGGACAGGCTGTGGTCACACTGATGCGCATGCCCACATTTTTTTGTTTGATGCTTTCAGTCACGTTTTCCCAGGACTCACCTGGCGAGCGGTGGAGACACCATTACTTATATGTAGATGTGGCTGCATGGCCATGGGCGCCACTTGCTGGCGGAATTCAGTGGCATTGCGACAGAGAGCTCTCTTTTGGCTTTCTTGTGCTTGGCCGATTTGCAAGGTTGTGTCCTGGTCCTGGGTTCCTTTCCGGCCGAGCCGGCTGCAGAAGCGCTTCTGCCGCAGGGCTGCCAATTCAGAGGCCGAGGCTCTGAAGATTGGAGATTTCCTGTCAACATGTCAATGCATTGGCTTTACTCCATGGCCCGGCATGCATGTAGCCTTGCAGGAGCAGACTGAAGTTTCGCTTCCCAAGAAATATCTCATGCTAGAGTTGCTTGACTCCTATCAGGAAGCGTGCTGCGAATGATGCAAAACAAGTGTAGACAAGTACTTGTGCCGGTGTTTATCGTGAACTGTCCAAGGACGGATTTGGGAAACGTTTCATTACTCTTGCGCCCAGATGCTGCACCCCGAACTGTGGAGCACGTGTGTCCCAGCCCTAGGACTTGGCGCCTTGAAGAGTCTTGAAACATCAGTTTCAAGTTGAGGCAGACTGGTGGGAACGGCACTCTATGACGGGTGCTACTTCTATCGTTCAGATTTTGTCCTTCAGCATCTGGACTGGTTTTAAGTGAGAGCATGTAGAATTTGCCAAGCCCAAGCCGGTCCCCCTCAAAAAAAGGACTCTGAGCACTAGCCCCTATGTGTGGAGGTGGGGCCTTTGGCTCCCGAACGAAACGGAGGCTCTTGGCATGACTTATGACTTGACGGCCTCGTGGCCTGGTGCTTTCCTTGCATACATGGCCTTTACGGTGTTGTGAGGTGGAGAACCCGTATCCAGACATCGAAGAGAACGATGCTCGTCGGCCTTTGCTGATGATGGAAGTGAGGGCAGGCAACCGCAACGCGACCTGCAAAAATCATCAAGTCCTGAGGAGACCCAGGTTGGCACTTTCGTCTCCAACTTGCCCGGAACTGTGGCAGTGGCACATGGCATTGGTGTAAATGGCAACTCCGACATCTTCATCAACCTGAAGGCAAGTCCACGTCACGTGGAAGGAGTTTTGATGAGCTGTCGCTGACGTGGAAGGACAACAGCTACTTGGACACCATGTCGCTGGGTTTTTGTGCAGGGAACTGAGGTCAATACCTTGCATAGAGGAGGGTGGACATGAATGTTTGGGAGACTTTAGTACCCATGCAGGGACTGGGTAAGCTTCACCTTTTTCATCTTGGCAGGTATTCGCCGAGGTTGCAGATGTTGAAAGCCGCCGCGTCGTGAGCGACCTTGCCGCCGCTGTGCTCAGGGACGACAAGCCGGCATCTCGATGCAGATCAGATTTTGGCAGCGCCAAGCATGATGCTGGGGGCTCTCTCCGGCGAACACCAGCCTTCTGTTTCAGGTAATATCGCGAGCCCTAACCCCAGTTGTCTCAGACCGCTGTGTGCTGTTCATCGTATGCGCACCTGCGTTGAGCATGATCCAAAAAAGCGAGTTGTTCGTAGCTCCTCAAACACCTTAGGCATACATCTCAAACAAGCAGAAGACCCCGCCAAAGCTGCTCGGGCTTGTTGTGGTATGTCGCCAGTGCAACAGGAAAGGCACTGACAAGACCTATTCTCAGGCTGCCGCTGTCCATACTTATGGAGAAGAGCTACGGCAATTTCTGTGATCAATGGCCTGATTTTTTCCAACCGGTATTGAAAAAGAAAGAGGATCCAGAATCCTAATGACA